AGCAAATGTTAATTGGGAATGGCTTGATTTTAAGACATAATGAGGTTTATTAATTTCTTCTTAATGAGCTGCTACTCATTTAAACAAGCCAATCTGGTTTCAGAGACATCCCTTTAACTAAGATATATCTGGAACACCAACAAATGGTTGTTATTGATGCTGCTATTTCTTGCTTTGCATCCTCAGGTATTTTCTGTTTAGACCTTGTAAGAGTGTTGTTTACCTTGTTTACATTAGGTGCTAGAGAGAAAACTTCCCTCAGGTTTGTTTGTTTGTTTATTGAATTTATATATAGCCTCACGTAACTCTGGGCAGAAAACTAAATAACCAGTATAATTTATCCAGTTAAAAAAATAAAAGACATAATAACAAAAAAGACAGGGAAGAATGCAATCGAACTTATACCAGCCATTTCATGGGCTGCATGCTCTCTTCCTTGGTCCCACCAAGTGAAGCTTTTTGGCTGATGGAACCTCTTGCAGGACTTGATGGGATGGGTGAATGTATTTTGGGGCAAGGTGGTCCCTCAAATAACCTGGCCCAAGTAATAATGATTATACAGTGTAGTCCTCAGCTTACAACAGTTCATGTAGTGACCATTCAAAGTTACAACGGCACAGAAAAATGTGACTTGTGACTGTTTTTCACAATTATGACTTTTACAGCATCCCCATGATCATGTAATCAAAATTCAGACTGCTGAATTTGACCTATATTTGTGACCGTTGCAGTGTCCCGGGGTCATATAATCCCCTTTTGTGACCTTCTGACAAGCAAAGTCAATGGGGAAGCCAGGTTACTAACTCGCAGTGATTCACTTAACAACGGTTGCAAGAAAGGTTGTAAAATGGGGCGAAACTCACTTAACAAATGTCTCGCTTAACAACAGAAATTTTGGGCTCAATTGAGGTTGTAAATTAAGGGCTACCTGTAACATGGAAATGATTTGCTATTTCCGTCTTCTGCAGTTGTTTTCCATCTTGGACATTCTCCCCGTTTCCAAGATGGAACCATCAACTAGTTTTCACACTTCTTAGATTTTCTGAGATCAGCCAGGATTGGCTAAGAGCTACTAACTCTTTTGACTTCATAATGTGTTTCTCTTGTTTATTGCAATGAATTTCTAAATTGGTGTGAGGAAAGCAAAGCAGAGTGGGAATTGAAGTGTCTACTAAAAGGTAACTGCTGTATTCTTCTTATTGGATGCCAAAATACACATATTTTTAAAAAAGAGGAAGAAAATGCCCCGAAGGATGCTGAACTTCATAACTGAAAGCCTCTTGTTTTTCACAACTTGAGTTCATGTGTTCTGTCTCTCCTTTCAAACTTAGGGAGGCTTGACTTTCTCCTTTATTCCAGTCAGTCCCATATTTGTTTTTGAAGTGAGTCAAAAATTGGACCACTGACTATTGCCACATGAATAGCTTTGTGGTCAGCCATTGGTCACTTGATTTGTATTTGGATGCTATTTGTAGTTCCTGGGTTGGAGAGATTTTATTTTTGGGGGGGAGTGGTGAGGTTTATGCATTGTTAATGAGCTTAAAGAGGCTTTTGATGGGGAGTCGGGAGAAAATCACAAGTTAGAATAGCATGCAGAAAACATTAGAAGCAGCCTTGTTGTTTTCTCTTTGGGGATCCCTGAAAAGATTGTCAGCAGAAAGATTTGCAGTTGAAAAGATAGGCAAAAAAGATCTTGGAAGATGGTTAAAGGTCATAAAAGCAGGGAAAAGTGAGCACTGATTGGTTAACTCACTGTTGTCTGTGCTTTAAATCCTCCCCTGTCAATTAGTGAGGAAAAAAAATGCCTTAACTTAATGTGTAAGTGGCTCCGTAAATATGCTTCTATCATGTTGCTTGGTGTATAATTGTGGAGGAAAGCATCTTTGGCTATGAAGGTCAGAGGTCAACCTCCCCCCCCCCTTGCTTGCCAGGCTCCTAAGCCAGGGATGGGAAGGGAGATTCCCTGCCTTTCTCCTAGTTAACAGGTGCAAGGAGCAAATGTCCAGAAAGATTTCTGACATCACTGAATTGCAGCTTTTCCTTCATCAGGGCATTACAGCTTCTTTAGTTTCCACTGTGGCTTAGTAAGAATAGCCAGACTGATCGTCCCTTGGCTGTCCATTATGTTCCAGTTCTTGGCATTTGCATGACCAATTGATGGTCAAACTGGGACGTGAAAGCCCCAGTTTGTTCACAGTTGGGGTGCAGTGTTTTTAAAGCTATATAACTATGACTATATAAGAATTAGACTCGTGATACCGCTGTTATAGTTCTTCATCCTGCTGTTGTGTTCCCTATTCTGTAGTCTGGCTATTTTCTTTCTTTCTAGAATTATGTGAAATATTTCAAAGTTGGTTCATCTATCACAGAAAGATTGCATCCTTATTTCAAATCTGTACATTCGATACAGAGATTATTTTCAGGCATGGAAACAATTATTTTTGTTAGATTTTCCTTTTTTTATTTCAAAGTTTGCTAAAATATTTTCGGGCCTTGATTGCTCAAATGCCACATTGCAAGTATAAAACATTGCAGTAAATATAATTTTTCCCCTTCTGTATATCCTAGCTAATGCTGGAAAATGCTATTGTTATGAAGATTCTGACTTAGCTTGTTTTGTAGATAAGCTCTTTGTAAGTTCTGTGCAATGTAGATATATAATATGCACTCATACACACGGAATGTTAACATTCACCATCCTGATCTTAGCTTTTGGTATATATGCTCCTATTATTGTTGAATGATCTCGGGATGAAAAATTAGCTATTCGAACATTGTAACCTTCAACAGTCCGGTAAAGAAAATTTGGCTAGAGACCTGTCGATTTGCATCTTTACTTCATTTCACCCCTCCCCTTTTTTTTTGGCTTCACTCTTTCTTACTGCCCTTGCTACTCCAGTCGTTAGAGTTGAATGGCTAAAACAGCTGCAAACCTTCCCTTGCTGTTAATTTTTTGTTTTTTGGTATTGCAAACTTCAAGAGGTTGTAGATAAATCCAGGTAGGTTTGCAGTGACAAAGAGGAACTCTGCAATAGTGATAAGGAATAAACCGTTAAGGAATCTGTTCTGGATTAGCATTTTTGACATCGGATTTGCCTACTGAGAAAATAGCATTATGTAAACAACAGCAAAAAATAGATGTGCTTCAGGATAGTAAGCAAATGTTGCTAAGGAGCAGTGACAAAAAGTTGCAAATACTTTATGCAGCAAAAAAAAAAAAGGCTGTATATTGGTTTTTGCTTCAGGAAACCAGGAAGCCTTAGAATTAAATCCCAAAATGGTGTGTTCACTAAAAGCCTTTGTAAAGCATGTAAACATTTGTAAGCAAACTTAATCCAAGGAATTGTTTCTTTTCAAAGAAAGAGGCAATGGCAGTGTTTTGCCTTAAAGTTAAAGGGGATAAGTCTGCATGTGATTACACCAAAGGAACAATATCATGTGTTAGGAAAGCAAGTTCTTTTATATTAATTGCTGAAGTCTGGAGTGAAAAGGACTAGGAGAACAGAGTGTTTGACTTTGATAAGTTGTTGCCTGAAGTAGTGGTGTGTGCATTTGAAATTCTAGTGCTGTTCTAACTTGTGCAGTCCATGATGCTGCTAGCAACCCTACAAACTATCTCTCTTTGAAAACCTTGATTTCTAGTTTGCCTCGACATGTTCTTAAAAGCAGGCTGAAATGGGCCAAACCCTTATTTTCTGGCATTCTCTTAGCAGATAAAGATAAGTCTGACAGCTGATTGAACAATACAGGCTGTGAAGCAACATGTTGAGTGGAAGCAGCTTTCCTTTATGGACTCAAGGGAGGGACTCTGATACTGAGTAATTTGGACTGGCATTGCATATATAAGGTCTTAATGTTCATTTTTTATCTCTTTGATTTAAGGGATCATTGGTAGTAGAACTTTTGTTTTGGAAACAGTGTTCTCTTTAAATGTATTGGACTATACCAGGGATGTCAAACTGCAGCCCGTGGGCTGTATGCATCATATGCAGGCCACACCCAGCCAGCTCCATGAATGGGAAAAACGTCACAAAACGTCACGTGTTGGCAATGTGAAGCAGCGAGTTTGACACCCGCGGACTACATTTTCTACCATCATCTATAAATGAGGGAATCAACAGTTTTACTATTTAACTTAGAATTTCCAATTTTTTAAAAAAGGCTAATCTAATTCAGTCAGGTTAATGTCATGGAAACCTAGGCTGATGGTGTGCATCAGAAATATTCATCGATTTATGAGCTCCTTTGAGGGAATGGCATAACATGGTTCAAAATGAATAAACCAGATACTATTTTTCTTTAAAATCAATAAGAACAGGGATGTGATGCTATCATTTGGTTATCTTTCAAGTTCATGTGCTGACATTTTTGGAAAAACGTATCTTGAAGATAATGAAAATTTCTGAATTTCAGAGGTGCAGTGTGGGGTTTAATTTGTAAAGCCTCTTATGATCCAAGTTACTGGTAAATTTATCATGTCAGTGAAAAATACTTTGTATGTTTTGCTTGTACTCTGCTGGTACAAAAACGATGCACCAAGTACCAGGCACTAATATTTCTTAATTTTTCTTGGCTTAGATTATCAAGTTTTGTTTTCCATCACATTGAAGGTCTGCCCCAAAGGCTGTTAGCTGTTCAGTTTTCTCCAAATATATGTAGTGCTTGTATATTATTACATCCTTATATGGGTCTAAGCTTTACAAATTGCTGTTGCAGATTTCAAAGTATGAACTCTGGTAGCTGATATTTTTTGGGAGGGTTAATAGAAAATCATAAACATTATGTGTGGTTCTAAGACAGGTGTCAGCTTCCTGCAGGCTTTATTCTGAGAGGTTTGCCAAGACTAAATTAAAACAAATCAATTTAATTTTTCTACAATTCTGTGTATTAAAAAAAAAAAACATATCAAATCATCCACTGACAAAGGAGTGGCAGACATGTAATACAATTAAAAAAACAATTGTGGAAGACCCTTATCTTTTTCATTTTCTCTTTTCTAGGCAGTTTTTGTACTAATCCTTCATTTGTGCTGACATCACCAGCTTACACCAGCAACTTCAGAATTCACATTTTAAAGGTTAGTTTGGATCAACATGGCTTCTTTCTCATCCCCCATCCCCCCCCCTTTTTAAGTGCCTGTATCACTGTCTGATGTTATCCTTAATCCTCAGATATCAGCAGAATGTGGAGGCAACCCAGGCTGCTGAGTGATTGCTGCTTGGGTTCAGGTGGGAAGGGAGGGGCTTGACTTGTACTTCCGGAAAGAAAGCCTATTTTTGTGCTGCCAGGGATCACCAAAAACAGAAATAGAGAAGAGAAGGGATTGGGAGTGTGTGTGAATGGATGGAGAAGCGATTTCCATGGATTAACTTCTAAAGCAACATGACTAAGCAAGACTTATTGTGAAAACACACATAATTGCCAGCAAGTATAAGGCGAGAGATAGCCCTAATTCTTCTAGAGGGCACCAGATGGAAGAATTCAAACCTGTACAGGGGAGTTTGTGACAATTCACCACGGCCAACTTGCATGAGTTGCCAAGGCCAACTTTTGCTGCAGGACAACTCGCCATGGCTATCTCGCCACAGGACAACTCGCTGCATTCAAGAGTTACATTAATACAAAGAAATGGTGGTTTAGAATCATTAAAGAAAGGATGCAAAAGAAGGGACAGGATGAAATATGAATTAAAATTAAAATATTTTTTGTTTATTTTAAATAAGTAGATAGAATTGTTACATGGTCCCACAGAGAGTTGTCCCATGGCAAGTTGGCCATGACAAGTTGTCCCACAGTGAGTTGACTGCAATGAGTTAGCTGCGATGAGTTGGCCATGATGAGCTGGCTGCAGCAAGTTGTCCCATTCCCTACACAAGGTGAGTCCCAAATTCTCAATCCCCATCAAGCCAGAAGTAATATACTATCAATATAAGGAATAAGGAGCCTCTGTGGTGCAGTGGTTAGAGTGCAGTGCTACAAGCTACTTCTGCAGCCAGCTGCCTACAATTTGGCAGTTCAAGTCCCACAAGGCTCAAGGTTGACTCAGCTTTCTATTCCTTCCAAGGTGGGTAAAATGAGGACCCAGATTGTTGGGGGCAATATGCCGACTCTGTAAACCGCTTAGAGAGCACTGTAAAGCACTGTAAAGTGGTATATAAGTCTAAGTGCTATTGCTGATATATTGGCCATATAAATTCTCAGTCCAATGATCCAAAAGTAATATATCATCAATAATTCAATATATTCATCAATATTATTCCTCTTGACTATATACAGGTAGCCCCCTGCTTATAATAGTTCATTTAGTGACCATTCAGAGTTACAACAGCACTGAAAAAAGTGACATGACCATTTTTCACACTTTCCAATAACCCCCCTGGTCACACAATCAAAATTTAGGCGTTTGGCCACCAACTTACATTTATGATGATTGCAGTGACGTGGGGTCATGTGATCACCTTCTGACAAGCAAAATCAACGGGAAAGCCAGATTCACTTAACAACCGTGTTACTAACTTAAAAACGGCAAAGATTCACTTAACGAATGTGGCAAGAAAGGTCGTAAAATGGAGGCAAAACTCACTTAACAAATATCTCACTTAGCAACAGAAACTTTGGGCTCAATTGTGGTCATAAGTTGAGGACTACCTGTACATTCTCTAAGGGGTAGGTTCACTTCCAACTCCTGTATAGCCGTGAAGTCTTTTATGTATAATTGGAGTAATGGAATCTTCCATTTGCACATACTTTCCCTCTCTGGTCAACAATGTCTTGGCTATTGTGAAGCTTTATGAGGAAAAGCTCCTCTCTCTTTTATCAAAGGTCAACATTTTCTCCTGAATGGGACATTTATTAGCACACCACCTTCCCATTGACTGTGGACAGAATTCAGCGATTGGTTTTCCCATATTTTTTTTTAAAACCAGGTGGGAAGAAGTAGCAGAACTGTAGAACAAATGCTAGTAAAATTGTTTGTGTGAAAAAGCGCTTTACTCAGGGTTTTCTTGGGTTCCTGAGATTGTACACTAGGCATTTCTCTTCCCTCCTCTGGTTTAAAGTTGGTTGAATAAAATAACAATGCTCATAGATGAGCCAAACAAACAAACAGAAATTTTTTTTTCAAGAAAGGATGCAATATGCTTCAATGTACAATATGGTTTATGCAAACATATGGAAGCAATAAATAGAAATAACCCGAACTATTTCAGTTGCACTGATTGGCTCGTGATGTATGAGACAAAACAGCCTCAGCATCTGAGACTACTGAGTGCTGATCAGATAAAAATGATACGTCAATACAGGTAGTCCTTGACTTACAACAGTTCACCTATTGACCATTCAAAGTTACAACGGCACTGAAAAAAGGGACTTATGACCGTTTTTCACACAACCATTGCTACATCCCCATAGTCACATGATCAAAATTCAAACTCTTGGCAACTGATTCGGTTGCATGTCCCAGGATCATGTGATCAGCATATGTGACTTTCTGACAAGCAAAGTCAATTGGGAATCCAGATTCACTGAACAACTCTGTAACTAACTTATCAACCGCAGTGATTTGCTTAACAATTGTGGCAAGAAAAGTCGTAAAATGGGACAAAATTCACTTAATGTCTGACTCACTTAGTACCAGAAATTTTTGGCTCATTTGTGGTTGTAAGTCAAGGACTACCTCATAAACCATAAATACATTAATCAAATACATCAATACATTAATCAAACCTGGTCAGTATTTTTTTTTTTAATTTTATAAAAGGAGGGGAACATGAATTTGCTCTTTCAAAACATCAAAACATAAAATATCTCCCACACAAGCTATTATCAAGATGTTGAAGTATATGTTCAATATGAAATTGTTTACTTATTCCCTTCTTGAAATGCTTAATTTCAGCCAGCAAAAAGGTTATTCTTGTGTCTAAAGTCTAGATACGGTGTGAATTTGTATGACAGTTAATTCATTTCTCTGTGCTTCTTTTCCAAGACAATTGCTGGAATAGCAATAGTGTTAGTCCGATGGTATGAATTTCACACTTTTCTAACCTGTATCCCATCATCACTATTCAGCATCCAACATAACATGATGTTTAACTAAATGTACTACAAACAGAATAATAAGGAACAGGAACCTGGCAATGAACTTCCAATCAATTGCAATATTAAATGAAAACATTGATTGCACTAAGATGTGTAGCCAGAATCTCTGCTTCTTATAATCAAGTTTATTAAATAGGACTTCAAGGACACACATGAGCAGACAAATAAAGATTGCAGCAAAGAGCTCAATCACGATGCCACAAGTGTTGTTAAAAAAAATGTGAATGGTCACACTTTGGTCTCACTTCTCAAGTATTGAGAAAATCTGGAGGTCTTTATAGCATAATCATTTTAGTCACAGATCGTGGCAGGTTTGTACATTGCTAAGTAAGTAAGAATAGTTATAGGAGAACAAACAAACAAACACACACACACACACACACACACACACACACACACACAGTGATGTCACATGGCTTGATTAGATTCACATATTACTCTAAGCTAAAATCTGGTTTGTAAAAGTTGGTTAATAATTTAGTATTTGGGAAAATAAGCCAAGCAATAGTTTAATCTGCAAACCTAACCAATTAGCATTATTATTAATACAATATTAATATTATTACATAATTATGTACATGTTAATTACTACTAATAGGCCAATTTGGTCTAGTGATTAATGCACTAGACTGGAAACCAGGAAACTTGGAGTTTTAATTCTGCTTTAGACATGAAAGTTGGCTAGGTGACTTTGGACCAGTCCCTCTCTTTCAACCCAACTCATCTTTAAATAGTTATGTTAAACATCCTTTGTGAAATACTTTCCTGCTTTGGGTGCCTTAACAATAATAGAGTTGGAAATGTTAACAGTGTTTTCGTTGGCCTAATTTGTACAGATTTGGAACTTTTATCACCATTATTAAGCAAGGATAGAGGGCATAATTAGAGGAATAACTGGGCCTTACTATAATCCTGTTACTTCTTGCCTCTTTCTATTGGAGGACTTACCCTATCTGTGTATCCTCCATTGTTGGATTATAACCTCCAATCATCTTTGTGTTCTCTGGCAAATATTGACCAGATATTGAGAACGATGGATTTTTACATACAATCATGCATACCCGTCTTGCTATTTTTTAATCTAACATATACTTCATGGGGAAGGCAGTATGAGATAAATTATAGTTGGGGCTTTTAATTTTTTTTTAAAAGCAGGGAAACAAAGAAAGTGGGCCATGATCTTCGGAAATGGGCTCAGGGTGGAAAAATTTAATTTATATTAATGAGTCTGTAGTTCTGTGAATATGCTTTTGGGAGTAAGTCACATGAACTCTAACGTGACCTACTTATGAGGAAATATATATACTGGGTGTGCGTGTGTGTGTGTGTATATAGGATTATGGTTAGTATAAAAGTCTGGTGTTCACTTAGGTAATTTACCTCTTTCCTCAGGTTTTTTTTTTTTTTTTAATCCCAACAGAGGAAACAAATTTAGCAAGTTTCTTCCTGTTGAGACTGAATGAGAAATAGCAAGGCTTGGTTTAATTTAATTTTGTCTTTTTTGTACTGTTGTTATTTAAATCATGCCTCGTCTCCAAGGGCCTTTTTTTCATGGTATTTGGGCTGACCATTTTGACATTGCCTTTGAGCTGGCCTTTGTCAAAAGCCCACTAATTTGTTTGCTGTTGGTAGCTTCTAGTAGTCTATTTATATGTGTTAATGCTTTTGAGTCTTGCAGCTATTGCTTGTTCTCTTTCTTGGAGGGCCTCGATCCAAATGGAAGCGAAAGGGGCATTCCTATGAACTTTAATCTGTGATAAGGCTTCCTTTTTTTTACCCTTCATCTAAACAGGTCCATTTTTTGACAATGCAACTGGCCACTTTGTGTGTAGCTTTCATTAAAACTACATCAATGTCCTGGGAACTCGCTCCTTGAGGGCAAAGATCATTTCCCACTAATTTGTTTGCTGTTGGTAGCTTCTAGTAGTCTATTTATATGTGTTAATGCTTTTGAGTCTTGCAGCTATTGCTTGTTCTCTTTCTTGGAGGGCCTCGATCCAAATGGAAGCGAAAGGGGCATTCCTATGAACTTTAATCTGTGATAAGGCTTCCTTTTTTTTACCCTTCATCTAAACAGGTCCATTTTTTGACAGTGCAACTGGCCACTTTGTGTGTAGCTTTCATTAAAACTACATCAATGTCCTGGGAACTCGCTCCTTGAGGGCAAAGATCATTTTCCTCAGGGAAACATTTCATGAGAATGTGACCATAAAAAATTAAGTTTCTGCTGCATTGTTAGTCTTCTGTTGACATTCTAACTGGCAAAAGATGCCATTGGAGGTGTGGAGACTTTAGAGGCAGCTGAAATTTCTGTGAGACAGCCCAGTGTCTCCAAAAGATGTGCGAAAAATGCTGCATTTTCTTGAAATCAGACTAAACTGTATTTTTACAAAAAGCTATATTTGTTCTTATGAAAATATCTAAGCAGCTGTTGTAAGGAGAATTCATTGTCCAATTTCCAATGCTTCTATGCTTTTTTATGTGTACTTTTACACCAACTACAACATGAGATTGCATATGTAGCATGACAGTAATTGCAGATTGTAAATTTGGCTTCCTTTTTTCTTGATAACATTGAAATTGAGAGGATTCACCAGGCATGATGGGCTCCTGACCTATATACTGTATATATCCCTTCTCGTATACTAGACAGCAAGTCTGTCTTATTCTTCCTTCTGTTTTTGAGGTAAACCCTTTTGCCATCCACTGCAGTTATTTGTACGAACATTTTACGTGAAAAAAAATGTTCTGTCATTCTTCTCCTACTGAATTCTTTTCTTCTAGTTTTCCATCAGGGTCTTCCTTTTATCTTACTCTCTCTATTGTCTGCATCTGGATTTGTTAAGCAGAATTCTGCAGAACCCTAGAATATCATGAGACTTTGATGGGATTCCACGAGACACAAAGATTTCCTGCCTACTCCTCAAATACACCCCCCCTTTTTTTAATCAATAGGCTTTGCCCTTGATCAGGGGTTGTGGAATATATTTTTTTAACTAAGAGGTTCCATGGTCTGAAAGAGTTTGATGTTTTATGATGTGAAAAAGTCTACATCATCAGTTTGAGACTTGTAGATACAATTAATTGTACATCTGAATTTGTTTGAATTGTGATATGATGAAAATAAATGAGATAATAGTGAATCAAGATGGCTTGATCAGACTTGATATGATACTTTAATAGCTCCTGCTTTAATTATGCAGAATAATTATACTTCCTGGATTATTAATTTTTTCCCCTTTGAAAACAGTTGGATAGGTTTTGGATTTTTCCATTAAATGTACTCTGACCTCTTAAAAATAGAGAAATTGTATGAAACCTTTATTTTTAAATTAACTAGTTTCAAAATGTTTTATAATAGATTGTAAATTTGGCTTCCTTTTTTCTTGATAACATTGAAATTGAGAGGATTCACCAGGCATGATGGGCTCCTGACCTATATACTGTATATATATATACTGTACAATTTGGAGACTTTTTTATTATTTACGTAATTCTCATTGTGGCAATAAAATATTATAACTTGCCTTTCTTAAATAACAATGACGGTGAAGGCATTTTAACAGTATAAAACATTAGTGTGCAATATATACATGCTAAAATCTGCCTTCAAATGTTACGGAAAGCTGGGGAGAAAGTATGTATTTGTGTCAGACTTAATCTTAATGCTAATAAAATTCAACTTAGCAATAGTAAATGTCATAATGGAAACAAAACAATAAAAAGTAAAGAACTAATCATAGAACAGTTATTTAGAGCAATGATTATGGATGAACAATACATAAAGATCTTAGCTCAATGACAAAATTAGAGAGGATCCAAATAATCGTTCCCAAGAAGATAATAAGCCACTACTTACAGAACACAATCCTGGACTCATGGATTTTTTAAAGCCAAAGCCAAACTAAGTCATGTTCTGGCTTAGTGTGATGTGTGAACATAATAGATTTGCTTTAATCTAAAAAACCCATTTAACAACTTGGTGACTTATATCAATACTTAGTCCAAAAATCCTTGAGAAGTTGGGTTTGAGGCAGCTTTTAGAAATGAAGAAGATTATTTTGAATATATATATTTTACTGTTGAAGAAGCAGATTGAGTCATTATGTGATTTTCATCATTGATTATTGTACCTCGGTTATCAACAGCAGAAAAGTTCTCTAAACAATTTTTAATTCCTTCAGTCACAGTGTCTGATCATATTAGCACTTGGGAATTGGGGAACATGGTGAATATGTTTATTTACATTATATTATTTGTACAAAATGGTAGAACAATAGAACTTCTGTTTGACTCTAGGATTTCTGTTTTGTCTATAACAGTGTTAGGTGAGGTCCAAATAATTGTATCTCATAGATGTATTATGGATAAATATTTTCAGGTCTAGTTACTCAGGTTTAGGAACTAAATGAAGTTGTACTCACTTTGAAGAAACAGGAGTACAATTTGGGATTAATACAGTACTTAATCCAGTTCTGCCATCAGTGTGACCTTACTGAGATAGACTGATACGGTAGTCAATGTTCATCTATAAATGTTATTTCAATGCAGTTTATATGTCTTGAACCGAAAGTTAAAATTTTCCTCTATTATGCAACAAGGACTACAGCTAATCCTCAATTTACAACTATTTGTTTAGTAACCATTCAAAGTTACATCAGTGCTGAAGAAAATAATATGACCAATTCTTTTGCCTATGATCTCAGTGTCCTTGTGGTCACATGATCACAATTAGAGTACATGGCAACTGGCATGAGTGTATGATGTTTGCAGTGTTGTGGGGTCACTTAATTACCATTTGTAACCTTCCCAACTGGCTTTCAACAAATAAAATCTAGAGAGGAAACTAGATTTGCTTAATGATTCTGTGATTTGCTTAGTGACCACACGATTCTCTTAAGAACCAGGGGGTGGAAGGTAATAATCAGGTGTGGTCATGTAGCAATAGCATTTTAGACTTATATACCACTTTACAGTGCTTTACAGCCCTCTCTAAGTGGTTTACAGCAGGGGTCCCCAACCGCCGGTCCGCAGACCGGTACCGGTCCGCGGAACAAGTCTTACCGGGCCGCTGGTTGCTGGGCGCCGCCATCTTTTTTTGGTAAAAAAGTGCTTCCGGTGAGCTTTTCCGGGTAGAAAGCTCACCGGAAGCACTTTTTCATCAAAAAAAGATGGCGGCGCCCAGTTGATGCCGGTACCGGGCCGCGGCGCCCAGCTGATACCGGTACTGGGCCGCGGCATCAAAAAGGTTGGGGATCCCTGGTTTACAGAGTCAGCATTTTGCCCAACAATCTGGCTCCTCATTTTACCCACCTCGGCAAGGATGGTAGGCTGAGTCAACCTTGAACTGGTCAGAATCGAACTCCTGGCAGTCAGCAGAATTAGCCTGCAATGCTGCTTCTAACCACTGCTCCACCACAGCTCATGTAAGTACTCAATGTCGCATTGCTTAGCAACAGAAGTTCTAGTCCCAATTGTGATAGTAAATTGAGGATTACCTGTAGCTGTCAGTGATCATATGTCATAGCCTAAAGAAGTACAATACAGTACTTGCTTTGTGGTTGTTGAAAGGGTTTTAGACTTCACAGGTTTATTGATATAAAGAAAAAAATAAGCAAGAATGCAAGAAGTGTACATATAGGGGAAAGATGAGATAAAACAATTTAACAATTTAACATTGTAAATAATAATAAAAATATAATAAATAAAATACTTGCCTTCCTGTTCTTATTAGTTTTGCCTCTTCATTCTTAAAGGATGTATCATACAGTACATATAGGCGATCATTGTTTTGAATTATATGGTTTGGTAAAACACTTCAGGTTTATATGTCTGTCTGTTTATAATTCTAGAGAACAAACTCCAAATCTTAAGCAGTTGTACAGCAGCACCAAGATTCTCAACTGTTTTGAGGGTGCAGATTTGCCCTTTCTTGACATAGCAATGGCAGCAGTTATGAGCTTGGGAAAGATTGCTGAAAACGGCAGTATGACATCTCAAAATGTCAAGTCCCCATCAAAATCTCTTACTCCTAGTCGGATTGGCAGGAGAAACCAGGTAAGGAATAACTATTTTTATTTTTCAGAGGAACACAATTTCACGTGAATTATTACCTCTGCACTCTGCCTCTTGTTGGTCAGCTAAATTCTATCAGTTTTCCCAACTAATGAGAAATGTATATACTGTATATTCAAAAGCCAGTCTGTATATGCCTTCTCATTTATTATGGAGTAACTCTTCCGCCTAAGCATTTGTGAATAGATAGCTTTTGAGCAGATTGGGAATAAATGAACTCCACTAATTATGATTGGTTGCAAATGATTACCATGCTAGGTTGGAACATTGCAGCCAAGCCACACATGCTTTTTATACATGCTCTCATTCCTCGTCTGGTGTCTTCTTGTTCCATTTCCCTTGCTGCTTCCTCTATTGTTCACCTTCCAGGGCTCGAAGGGGAAGCTGTGTGTTTTTTTGTTTCCCAGATCTGTTATAGGCAAGTGACTTGATCTTCTTGCCTTTTTGGAGTGTTATTATCAGAAGAAGAAAAAAATGTTTGATCTAGTTGAGCTTTTATTAGGCTACTTTTCATTGTAAAAGATCATATAATCATAAGGGTGGAAGGTATCTTGGAGGATGAAACTTTGAATGATGGTGTTTAGTTGTTAAGCGGCTGTGAAAAGACCTCCAAAATCAAGGTTTCTAATTAGCTAGGTTTGATAATAAGCAAAATACAGAAATAGAAACACCCTTTCTTATCTCCAATTTTTGTAAGGGTTTCAGATGTCCTGGTACTTTCTTCTATGAGAACAAGAAACAAATTAGGAATAAATTGGCCTGCTTAGAAAAAAAAAAACTGCAATTTTTAGGGAGTCTTTGAAGCATAATGAAAATTTATTGAGAAATCAACGTGACTTGGCAAGGCATATATGTCTTGCCAGTTTCCTAAAGCGGGGGCATAACTAACATTAAAACATCACAAGATGTTTTAGATCCTGCAGCATCAGGCTACTAACTATTCCGCAGTGAACTTCAAAGCAGTGTTAAAAATGTTGAAGCTATCAGTTGCTTCTTTGGTTGCCTTAGTTAGTACTAATTTCACAGATCTAAGAGAAGAAGAAGCAGAGTCTGGAGAAAGAGTCAAGAGAGGAATCAATCTGAAGTAGTAATGTTGCCACAAGCTATCCAAGTCCGGTCCCCATTTGAATTCTCTTAACTCTTATCTTTTATCTAATTTAGTGCTGACCTTAGTTGACTAGATTCTTGTGTATAAGCTTGAGCATTTAAATCTTCTTAATTGGAACTTAATGTATGGTCTCATTCCTGTCCTTTGTGCCTGACACAGCTCATGCTTAAAATTTGGATGGATGACAATAATTTCAGTAGGGAAGATGCAATCCTAGCATAGTCTCACTTGGCCTCTCTTCTAGAGTTCCTCCTCACCATTAATGTGGGTGGTTCTCCTTGCTGTAATCCAAACTTCTCTACCAATTGGGAAAAGCATGGAGTTGCCACAGCAGGAATTAGCTTGGCAGCTGTATTTACAGGAACTCCTTGTGAGGAGGGCATCTCTACTTCAAAATAATTCATGTTTTCTCCCAGTCAGAGATTGTATAAGATGAAGGCTGAAAGTGATGGCACCCTGCTTGGACCACATTTCTTTGTGCAGGGTGTTAGCAGAAACTAGTAGAGAAACTACACGGAGAAACTAGTAATACAAGGCTTTTGCAGAGGGAGTAGTGTTTTCCTGAACATTATACCTTTTTCTGACCCAGCCTTTGCAAGCAATGAGGAACCACTTACTCACAAGTAAAACAACCCCCTTTTTTTCTTAAAACAGGGCATGAACAGCCTTTATTCATGTTGGATGGATAAAACCAAAAATAATTAGTCACAAATGAAAGCCTTTTCCCAGCCAGGGTGAGGCTAGCTGGCATCTATGACTTCTTTTCCCTGAGAGCTGGCTTATATCCTTCCGTTGTTCTCTCCTCTCCTCTTTATGCATACGCGCATCTGGAATGGGCCCCATCTGTTTCTCCTCCTCACTCAGTTCAGGCCCTGAAGACAGCTGCTTCTTCACCTGGGGCGGACAGAAAGCCCCAGATCTGTATCTACCTCTGCTTCTGCTTCCTCATTAGAACCTTCCAAAGGCTCCAAAGCTGTCCCTCCTCCATGTCTGATTCTGCTGCTAGCTCTGCTGGCAGCCAACAGGCCACAGCAATACCCTAATTTTTACCAAGTCTGCCAAGGTTTGAGATATGTGTGCTAGAACCATTGGGCTGGACTATATTTCCTTCCCTTTTGGTCCTTTGTGTAGCACTTTGTTGGACAAGCCGGAAGAAAGTGGATGTTTGTATGAACCTTAGCAACCCTTTCACTGGGCATTGGATCAAGACAGTAAATGCGACTGGATTAACATAAATACTTGCACTGTAATAAATAAACAAGTAAATAATGAAGAGTGCTATTGAGTGTCTTTCCTATCAATCAAAATAGAAATTGACATTTAAGTAGGTTTTCTGTTTGGTCTGGAGTACCTAGAATAGTATAAGCAGATAAGCCTCAGTCATTATTTTATTTGCTAGTGATCCTTATCACAAAGCTTCTGTAGATAGGCTGACGTAGACTATCCGATGACAATTCCTGCTGCATTGGGAGAGCACAACATTTTAAAGATTGTGTTGAAATTTAAAGATAGCATTCTGAGTGTCTGACACAAGTAAGAGAAGATTGGGGGGATGGGATGGACAGTTTGATTTCAATCTTGTGCTCTTGAACTGTATTGCTCAACTTTACTGGGAGGAGGCTTATCCTCCAAGGGAAAGAAATAAAATCTCCATATTCACAGGCAATATACGGTAACTACACTGGAAAGCTGTTGCTTCATGACCTACTTGTAATATTTTGGTTGCCATTGGAGATAAAATCCTGGACCAGATGATTTATTTTGAATACAGTTTGCATAATAGCAATAGCACTTAGACTTATATACATACTGCTTCAAAGTGCTTTACAGCCTTCTCTAAGCAGTTTACAGAGTCAGCATATTGCCCCCTACAATCTGGGTTCTCATTTTAGCCACCACGGAAGGATGGAAAGCTGAGTCAACCTGGAGCCTGGTGGGATTCGATATGATGATGATGATGATAATAATAATGCTAGGTTATTTCGTGGGTTAATGTGCTTTTGTGTGTGCGTGTGTTAAATCTTACGGGAGGAAACATTTGATTCGAAGTTACACGTTGGACGTAACATATTGAAAATGCTTTTATATCACTTTGTAACTGGGAATTGCAGTTTTCATTCCTTTATTAGTAAGAGAGGGCAGTGTGATGGCTCAGTGGTTAAGATGCTGAGCTTGTCGGCTACAAAGCCGGCAGCCCAGGTTTGAGACCCCTGAGGGCCACACGATGGGGTGAGCTCTTTTTTCAGGTTCCACCTCCTGCTAAACTAGCAACTAAAAGCATGCAAATGCGAGTAGATAAATAGGTGGGAAAGTAACAGTGCTCCATGATGTCAGGACAGCACTGGCTCATTGGCCTTAAAACGGAGATGAGCACTGAACCCGATGAGTGGAGTAAAATTAGGATGAAGGATCTTAATCCAATTCAGAGAGTATGTCCTTTAAAAATCACAAAATGCTTATTCGCCTCTTTATAATTGGTTTCATGATGTGAGAAATCAAGAATTCCCAGGAGTGCTTTTTCCACCTGTATCAAAGGACGCATAAAGACATATCAGATTTCTTATTGAATTGGCTGCTATTTTTGTGTGCTTTGTTTGAGAGAGGTTCCCCCCCCCCCATCAGTAATACTCCAGCCTGCATAATCATTATTGCCCATGATCCAAATTCTTCAGCCAAACTTAAGAAATCCCAAATGCACATGCACAGGAAGTTGTATTAAAACTATTACATTGTAAACTGAATCCAAACAGATTCTTCCTTTTAGCTAACTGGCCTATTTCAGGGTATTGAGCCTGTTTGGTTTATGTCAACAGCTAGGACTAGGGGGGCTGAAAGCAAAGGTAGCACAGGCCTGGTAGTTGTACGGACTTGGGCTAATATTAAATCTGAAGTTTTGTCCTAATCAGTTCTGCTGCCTTGTGCGTCTTGTTCTTTGCTTTGCCTTGTGCGTCTTGTTCTTTGCTTTCAAGGTGACTAATAATCACTCTTGGGTAATTTGCTTGTTTGAAAGGGGCAGATGTTACAAAACAAGGCTTCCAAACAATTAATAGCATTGCACAGAGGGATAGATGGGCTTCGTTCAGCAAGGGAGCTATAGAGCTATCTGTATTTCCTCCCCATATGTTTGTTCTGCTGAGACAATATTTAGCGTGGTGGAAGAAAGATTTGCACACGAACCAGCTACAGTTTGAAGGTCCTTGGGAAGAACTTTAGCAGGTGCAGGTAGTCTCGACTTACAATGATTTGTTTAGTTCAAAGTTACAACGGCACTGAAAAAAGTGACATGACCATTTTTCACATTGCAGCATCCCCATGGTCAGGTGATTTATATTTGGCTGCTTGACAACTGACTCACATTTATGACGGTTGCCGTGTCCTGGAATCATGTGGACCCCTTTTGCAACCTTCTGACAAGCAAACTCAATCGAGAAACCAGATTTACTTAAGAACCGTGTTACTAATTTAACAAACTGCAGTGATTTGGTTAACAAATGTGACAAGAAAAGTTGTAAAATGGGGCAAAACTCACTTAACAAATTTCTCAGTTAGCAACATAAGTTTTGGGCTCAATTGTGGTCATATGTCAAGGACTACTTGTAATAGGTATACGATGTGCTAACAAGTGCCTTAATAGGAACATATGAGCATACAAAGTTTGCGTTACTTTAGGCGTTTATCAGGAAAATATGGGGTGCTTATCCACCATGTCACACTTATTTTTTTAAAAGAAAGGCAAAAAGAAGAATTCCAATAACTGTTAATTTGTGGCGCACACCCCTATATAAATTGGAACGGCTAGTAGTAGAAATGGAACATTAAAGAAAAATATGCAGATGGCAGAAACCTTACATAAATTTATATATAAAAAAAAAGGTTGTATATTCCTGAGTGTAAGAAAAGATTTTAACAGTGAAGTGATACTACAGTTAAGCCATTTTTAAATAAATCTACCTGAAGCATCTGCTCTGGATATTTGCTAGTGGAATTTCCAAAATCCAGTATAAAATATTGTAGCAAAATACTTTAGAAGTATGTTCACTTTTTCTGGGAACTTTTCTGAGCCGAATTAATAGTATACTGTCTTAGTTTTGATGGGTTTGCTATAATAACTGAGGAAAAGAACCATTCAGGAACAGCTAAGTGCTTAAGCATCTATAAAGCCTTAGGTACAGTCAGAGCTCTCCAAAGTCTACATGTGCTTGATTTGCACTCCTGTCTTAATGAATGGTATTCCATGTTCAGATGTCTTGAAAGTATGTAGTTGTGTTTCCGTGTATGATGTGGTATATATAGATACACATTCACACTCACACTGCCAAAGACCCAGCTCTTCAGAAAAGGTTCTAATGGTGGGGAAGGAGAAGACAATCGGCCACAAGGAAGATGGATTCAGTTACAGTGGTGTGGAGAACATCATTGGAAGATTAGAAAAACCAGGTTAGGGTGAATTGACTTCGAGAAAATCCATGTTGTTGCTAAGAGCCAAATAAGACTTAACGGCACATCATCAATATGTGTATAAATTTATAAACTGTTTTGGTTGGCCAACTCTTAAGTGGTGTAGATGAAAGGAAATAGCTCAGTCACGTTGCCTTGTAAACTATTAACAAGGGTTTTGGCAGATTTTTGGCTCAATCTCCCAAAAAAATGCTCTAGAGTAGACTATGTGGGGGCAAGGTGTAACATCTGTAGCATCTACGTTTTTTCCTGAGATCGTGTAACTGCCCTCCATAGCTTCTGTACACATTGTTTTAAAGCATTTCATACATGTGCTCTTACATTTGTCTACATTTGTGCTCTTACATGGTCCCAAGCATTTAGTGGAGATGAAATTCGGTGCTGTGCAATTGAGAGCTGTGACATAGAGGCCTAGTGTGTAAAGGAGAATATTGGGACTTTCTTTAACTGAACTATCAAGAGTACACCAAATTTGATGATGAAAGAGACAAAGGGGCTAATTCTGGCTGTACAAGACCAAGGCTTAAGAACAAATGCATATAAAGCCAGTTGAGACGACAGCAGCAGTCAACAAATACCACTTGTGCAAAGAAACTGAAACTTCTACTGCAAGAAGATTGCAGAGATTGACTGCAAACTACAGCATTGTGAAATAACAATGGTGCGTTGGAATATCTGCAAGAAATACCATTTGCCTTGCAAGCACTGGTGGGACCACAAAATAGACAGAATAACAGAAAGAAGCTAAAATGCTCTAGAATTCAGAGGGTCACCCCAGACTTAACAACTGTTGATAAGAAAGGCAAAAAAAGTCTGGATAGTGGATGTGGCAATACCCAGAGCCAGCAGAATAAGAGAGAACTGGAGAAAATCATGAAATACAAGGAAGTTACTTGGAACAACTTACATCCTGCAACAATATCTTTAATACAAACGATACCTGCCTATCTCAGATTCTTGGGAAGAACTTGATTGGTGAATAAAAATGACAAATCCAATCTAAACATCTGGTTGATGAACAATAAAAAAAATAGAGGCAGTGGGAGAGTAATTAAAATGCCCCTAGTATTTTGAGAGATTTAAAACTCATGGGAATGTATATGTACACATATCTGTGGAGCACATTTAAATTATTTAGGATTACATTCTACTAAAATGACTGCAGTATTTTTTTCATAATATATCAGGAAAGATTGGACAGCTCATTTTAGAATGCTGGAGACAGCTTAGACTTTAAAAAAAAAAGTGTGGACAGAACCTGGGAAAGTTAAAGTAATACTAGATGTGCTACGTATGGTAGAATAGTGGATAAGTATATTGACCCTTTCAAGCAGTTGGGCAAGAGAAAATGATTAACTTGTTTCCAGTCTGTCCTTTGACAGAAATATTGGTGTCTGATTCAATATCCCAAAGACATTTTGAAAAATACCAGTGAATAAATCAGGATGTTCTGCATAGACACAAATTGTTTTGATTTCTTGAGCAGTGCCCATCATACCTATAACTCAGGGGTCCCCAAACTTGGCAACTTTAAGACTTGTGGAATTCTGGGAGTTGAAGTCCACAAGTCTTAAAGTTGCCAAGTTTGGAGACCTTTGCTATAACTAATCAGGAATCATTCTGTTCCCTAGCTTTTTTCTTTGCTGCTTCTCCCAAAACAGCAGGACCAGATGAAGGTTTCTTTTTGTTTTTCAACTCTGATTCTGGATTGTCTTATTTGTGGTGTGTGTGTGTGTGTGTGTGTGTGTGTGTGTGTGTAGCAAATAAATAACAATAACAGAAAGTAAAATGAAGCAGTTGGCTACATCTCCTTAGGACTTCTCTGTGGCTGAGCATTGGTGAGGCTGCTTATGGTTCTTTGTTATGCAGAAATGATGCAAACATATATTTTCTGGTTCTAATTGAGCAGCCTATGTCCCTAAAGTGCTTTTTGCAAAAGGCAACTGGACTTTCTTGCTTTTTTTTCTCCTTTGAAAATGTTTCGCTTCTCATCCAAGAAACTTCTTCAAACCATGATCTGGATGTTTGAGACTCTCCATAAATATTTATCCTATGGGTCCTTTTTTCATTTTTTAAAAGAAGTGTTTATCGTTGTCAAATTTTAATCGGGAAAGCTAAAAAGCAGAACAGTTATAATTTTGTTAATTTCCCTCCCCACCAATATAACATATTACTATACTTTTTGGGGGTGTTTTCCATCCCATATTCTTATAAATAATTTGTTCTGTTCTTAAGGTTTAGATTAGAATATACAACAATTCCCCTTTTTTCTCGATTGTTTTCAGTTTGGGGTGATTTCTGTTACTACAGATGGGGAAAACCGAAGAATATCATTGCACCTTGATCAGGTTCTAGGAAATCTATAGAAAGGATATAATCTAGCTAGAGAAGTCTTGAGATAGATTGTCATGTTTAATTTGGAAATATTTCATAACTCTACAACCTTTCATGCAGCAAGTAGCTTAGGTTGTACATTTTGCAATATCAAAATGTTGTGAAAATTTCCAGCATGTGTAAGTTTTAAAAAACATGCCAGGAGTTTCCATTTTTTCTATCTGGGTGTGCATCTGGCATTTTGGGTATAGCAAGAAGCTTGTTTATTCAGGGAATAGGTAGCATGAGGAATACAATCTACCTTTCTCTTCCTCTGACCCTCTGAAATTGATGTTTCATTTTCTGGGAAGCTCGGCAAATTTCCAAGCAAAGCCAGAGAACTGCAGCTGTCCATCATTTTTATTTTTGAAGAAAGTTTCTGGACCTAAGGACATTCCTGAAAGTAAAAGTGATACAGGAGGGCAGTACTTTGCTTTGCAATATGTCATATTTCACTTGTTTAATTTAAAAATAGATATATTTAAAATGTGAAGTATCGGATGAGGTAAGGAGCCTAGCAGTCATCAAGAGAGATGTTGGCAGGCACAGTTGTTTCCCTGGGCCCTGTGTTGGTGACCCTGGATTAGACAACCGCATGAAGGCTACGACTATTAATACTTTAATATTTGAAACTATAGTCCTTTATTTATTGCTATTACCTTTTATTTATGGTCTCTTTTAATGTAAAAATCTTCTAAAACGACTGACAAGCAAGATAAACAACAACAAAAAAATACAATAAATATTTTAACCACAAAGGAACTATAAATTTGTCTGATCAGAATAGTAGTTGGCAATGATTCTGTGGGGAGGAAGAGAAGAATCCAGTTGAAAATCTACTGTGTAGGTTGTTCCTGATTATTGTCGTTGAAGAGACAAAGCAGACAAAATTCCAGAAGGTTTTTCTACAGGATAGCTGATTATAATGATCTTTTGGGATCCATGTTGAGGGGAAAAAAATATGCTGGTCTTAATGTTCCTCCTTCATAGCTTTTTATAATCTGGTTGGTCAAATCACTTCCATAATTCTAGATGGGACTCTTTCCACACTCTTGGTTGAAAGAACTGTAACTTTAACTGTAATTTTTTTTTTAAATGCCTTTTTAAATAATATTTTCCCCATGTGAACACTGCAAGAATTCACTACATGTGAATACAAGGGAGTATAATCGTTACCTCACTGTAACATTTTCTTTGTAAATGTTTAAAATGATAACTTGGCTTTTAATTTAACATTATGAAAACATATATTTGTTTTTTTAAAAAAATAGGAAACAAAAGATGAGAAGTCTTCCTACATCTGCCCTCTGTGTGAAAAGGTCTGCACTACCCAACATCAGCTGACTATGCATATTCGTCAGGTAAGTTGGTAATTTTTCAACATAATATTTTTAACCTGGAGACTTATCAATAAATTTATAGTAACATATTCTAGTTTCTCAGTGCAAAGCCCAAAATTATGTTGACTGTCAGTGTGTATCCAGAAGCCTCTCCCTCGTCCAGCTGTGAATCATTTTTATTTTAAAGGATAATTATGCTTCACAGTCTTTGTCCCTCTGTTGCTGTTGCTTCATTCTTTCCTGCTGCCTCCTTTCCCTATTAATGCCAGATCAGAAATTTCAGAAAACTGCTGTAGTTTCAACTAGGGTTGGGCTGAAATGTACTTGTTTGCTATTCAAGAATATGTGTGCTTGGATCCATTTCAGATCTTCCCAAGATTTAGGGGAACGCTGTGTCCCAGCAATCATAGCTATTTGCTTTATTCCAAAACATCTAATTCCTTGGGCATTGGCTGCTATACAGGTAGTCCTCGACTTACAACAGTTAGTTTAGTGACCGTTCAAAGTTACAACAGCACAGACTTAGGACTGTTTTTCACAGTTGTGACCTTTGCAGTATCCCCATGGTCATGCGATCACATTTCAGACCTTTGGCAACTGGATCATATTAATATAATGGTTGCAGCGTCCCAGGATCCAAGTGATCCACTTTTGAGACCTTCTGACGAGCAGAGTCAACGGGGAAGCCAGATTTACTTAACGACCATGTTACTAACATATCAAGTGTAGTGATTCACTTAACAACTGTGGCAAGATAGGTCGTCAAATGGGGCAGAACTCACTTAACAAACATCTCATTTTACAACATATATTTTGGGCTCAGTTGTGATCGTAAGTCGAGGACTACCTGGATTGCCAAAGCCAAAGCCCTCAGCAGGTAGTCCACAACCAAGTTAGAGTTTTGCTTTTTTGCCTTCCTATTTTTTGCAAACTGAATCTTGGGAAGCTGCTGGTTGAGGAATCCAATTTCTGTAAACAATGTCTCCTTGATCACTCCAAAATATTCAGCATTTCCCCCAGATTTAGAACAGACAATACTATACTTTGCCATCGGTGCAGAAGCGTACATGTCATTTTTCTGCATACATTTTTTTCTGCAAGGAAAATGAAAAGAAGGGAATAAAAATACACAGGTCCATTGATTTAGGTCTACAGGTCCAGTGATTTAGCTAACTATATGGATCAGCAACAAAAATGAGTTAGAAGAAAGGAAAGAAAAATTGGGATGGGACATGGTGGCAGGTTAATAATTTCCCCATAACTCCCTAACAAAGAAGATGAATGAACATTCATTTATCGTAACAGCATGAAGGATTAAAAAGAATCGTTTCAGGAGTTCCTGTTGTTGAATAGCAAAATAGATCTCATAGAAGGCATTGTGTTGCCTGGCAGTGCCATAAGGAAGTTTAGATGGGAATCTGCTCTGTATTTTAAGCTTCTCCTTTAGACAGTTGTAGGAAATGACCTTTTGGGACTCTGCTGGCCCAGCTGGGACAGATGTGACACACACATGTATGTACAGAAAAAGTTTCATTTGAATTCGTGTTTTTTATATGTAAGATAAAAGTCTTTTTCTTAGGTGATTTATGGGGGGATGAGTGGGAACCATCTACAATTTGTGATGGTCATACCAGGGAAACCTGCCCCGAAACAGTGCATTGAACACCAGTTATATCTCTGATGTACTCTCAAGACCTTAATGTGGATGAACCCATAGAGTTTGAATTGGCCCATAAAGCTCATTTTTTCAAGGCTGTTAGAAGCATTCCATATAAGCATGTGGTACAGCTCATTCTTTTTCCTTTTGGTCATCATCTCAGTTACTTTTCTGAATGTTTCATGGTTCAGAACCGAAATTAGTTGACTTTATGCAACATTCCAGAGAGGAAGAAAAGCTGTTTATTGATGCTTTATATGGTGATCAATTCAAGATGTTAAAAAAGTACACATATTTTTCCCAATTTTTGCCTTTTTTCCCCTCCCTGCTTCCTGCGTTGTGTTTTATTTCTGGGCTGAGTGATAACTGGAATGATTACATCATGCTGACTTGAGTCTGCTGCATTGACCCTTCTTAGAACGATGATGGTTGCAATTGACTAGTATGTCCTTGAACCCTGAACAGGAAGAACTCAAAAGAAAAATCTGTTGCTTCCCTTAGCATAACACTGACACTGGAGGAACAGACCATTCCTGCAGCATCTGTGGAAAATCTTTGAGCTCTGCAAGCTCCCTCGATCGCCACATGCTAGTGCATTCTGGGGAGAGGCCTTATAAATGCTCAGTTTGCGATCAGTCCTTCACCACCAATGGAAACATGCACAGGTGAGAGCCAGGAATTGAGATGACAGCGTGCAAAAGGGTGATCAATATGTATGTTTGGAAGATTGTTTACAGCATGTCCTATTCCCTTTCAGGGCTATAATCCAGTGTGTCTCTTTTTAGCACGTATGATCATCTGACAGCAGTTCCTTCCAGTGCATGATCAATTGCTTTTAGTATGTCCTCTTGTTGAAACAGCTTATGGGAAGATGGGACTTAATGAAGTCTTGTACACACAAACTTCCTGAACCAAGGCCTTTTCCTCTTACAATTGGAAAAAATGAAAGCATTTCTCAGTTTAAATTTGCTTTTATTTCTGTCCTAAAATACTGGTCCAGCCTGAGCTTCTTAAATAGAATGATATGAATGATATGAGCCACGGTGGCACAGTGGTTATAGTGGAGTACTGCAGGCTGTTGGCTGCTTGCAATCTGGCGGTTCAAATCCCAGCAGGCTCAAGGTTGACTCAGCCTTCCCAGACAAGGTGGGTAAAACGAGGACTCAGATCGTTGGGGGCAATATGCTGGCTCTGTAAACCGCTTAGAGGGGGCTGTAAAGCACTAAGAAGTGGTATATAAGTCTAAGTGCTATTGCTATATTAATACTGCTGAACATAACAATCTTTGCCAGACTCAAAAATACTTGAAACAACATTCCCACAGTGGAATATTACTTTCCCTGATGGGTTTTATCTATCAAAATTCTTCCTGATATCATTAAAGTTTGATAGGAAGAAAAAAGAAAACAAATGTATCCTAATGAAGGAATTCATTCATGACATCCTTCAATATAGGTAGTCCATGACTTAAAACCATTCATTTAGTGACTGAAGTTACAGCACCACTTTTAAAAATGGTTTATGACTGTTTTTCACATTTATGGCCGTTGCAGCATACCCACAGTCATGGGTTCAAAATTCATATGCTTGGCAACTGGCATGCGTCAGTGTCTGGGTCATGGGAACACTTTTTGCGACTTGACAAGCAAAGTCAATGGGGAAACCAGATGTCAGGATTCCGACAGTTACTCCAATTAAATTATGAGCCTTGAGCCACACTCCCAAAACTAAAAAAGGTTTATTTGTAGGTAACATTCTACTCCGGCATTTACCTGGGCGTAGCCAATTCTGAGATATGTAATTCACTGTCACCCTTGATCCTGCTTCCCCCCCACCCTTCTGGATGTATCATCCAACGAAAAACATCCATAGCCAAGAATCATCAATCATGCTCTCCAATTAGATTTTTGCATGGCAGAAGCTTCAGCGTTTGAAGAAAATATGAATGGAATGTACTTTCGATTCCACACTGCCGCCTGCTTTTTGAAACTCCCCCCCTTCTTTCTGTTGTCAACTATAAAACATGTATACAAAATGTTTTATGAGTTGACACCAGATTCACTTAACAACCATGTTACTCACTTAACACCTGCAATGAAGCACTGAACAGCTGTGGCAAGAAACGTAATAAAATAGGCCAAAATTCACTTAACAACTGTCTTGTTTAGCAACAGAAATTTGGGGCTCAATTGTGGCTATAAATCAAGGATTACTTGTATAAATTGATGTTTAAACATATTCATGCTTTGTTTTTGGAACAACCCAAAGGTGAGAGAGGGAGGCAGGTGCCAAGATTTTCAAACCTCTTCTAAATAAACGTACAGTGCTATTGTCAGGGACAATCTCATTCTGATTTACTGATTCACTTAATCTATTATCCATTCTGTGAACTGTGTAGCTGAGAGATTACACCCATCAGGTAATTTGTCCTTTTAAAAGGGCCATTATAGAAAGAAATGATATAGTTGTGAAACAAACAGCATGCTTAACAGACTGTATCTTTTCAATATGATTTTTCCATTACGATAGAAAGAATGAAAATCATGTGTTTTCATTTTCCCAAACAGCCAGCATAGAACCAAGCATTTTAATAAAGCCCTGTTTAGAGTTAATTAGGTCATAATATCTTCCACATAATCTCAGGTTTGCATTGAGTGTAAAGATTTATATTCATCTGTATCTAGCCTTTTGGCCAAAAAAAAATGACACACACCCCCCCACCTCAAAACCAGAAGGCAGTATTTTGTAGTAGCTAAAATGGTAGATTAGAAGCAAGAAAACCCCTTTAGGAATGGAAATCAATTAGATGCCCTTGGGCCACTCCCTCCCTCCCTCCCAGCCCTAAATCAACATAAGGTTGTGTGACAAGCCAGCTCAAAAACAACCCCCTTGTTGCATCACACATTGATAAGGTTTGTTATAAGATCAAGGCAGCACAGTGTAAAACAAGCAAAGCCAGCAATTAAGTAAGACAAGCTTAATTTTCAGTGCAAAAAAAACCAAAAACTATACCTTTCTTGATGTTCCATAAAACATTTGCCTGTGGATGGGATGCCTGATTTGTTGTGACACAGATGCATATTACTTTGTCTTTTTATAGTTAATGGTAGCTTTGGGTAAAAGTGGGGTTTAAATAAGGAATCTCCTAAACTGCTAACTGTTTGTGTGGTCTATATTAATACCATATCTTGGCGCCTCTCGTGAAAGGTAAGCTTCAAAAACACAATTGTCACAGACAATAAGTACACAACAAAAACGAAAACTTTGCAAGATTCTCCATTTTATAGTATACAACAAATACCAAGTTCAAAACTTTAAGAAGTTTAATAACCATAATTTTGGAACGGAAATTTTACAAGTGAAATTTTTGGCATATGTTTCTCAGAATTATGTCGTAAGGCAGTGATCCCCAACCTTTTTTATGCCGCAGCCCGGTATCCCCAACCTTTTTTATGCCGCGGCCCGGTACCGGCATCAGCTGGGCGCCGCCATCTTGTTTTGATGAAAAAGTGCTTCCGGTGAGCTTTCTACCCGGAAAATCTCACCGGAAGCACTTTTTCATCAAAACAAGATGGCGGCACCCAGCAAACCAGCGGTCCGGTAGGACTTGTTCCACGGACCGGTACCGGTCTACGGACCGGTGGTTGGGGACCCCTGTCGTAAGGCAAAGCCTACTACTGAGGTCTCCATTGCACAGCTGTTGGCTAAAAAGAAGACTTCTCATTAATCTGCTTCCTCTAGAACTTTTAAGACTTGTGCTGGTTGGGGAATTCTGGGAGTTGAAATCCACAAGTCTTAAAGTTGCCACCTTTGGAATCCCTGCTCTAGAAAAGTTGAAGATGTAGGACTCCTGGCTGGAGAATTCTAGGAGTTGAAGTCCACACATTTCAGGGTTGCCAAATTTGAAAAATACCGCTGTAAAGGAACCTGGTTTGGTGAAGGAATACACAAAACTTTGTGTATACGCAGACACACTGATATTTCTTTTTCCATACTTTGCTGACTTGTTTTCAAATGTGACTTCACACAGATATGTGTATCTCGTAGTTTCTAGGCACTATTTCCCAAGGTACAAAACTTGACATCTTTTTACTAAGAAAGCATAAGCAGACACTTTTGAATCAGACTAAGAGTCCATCAAATTCAGTTCCCCCACCCACCCACCCTCCAGGGATGGTCAGCCAAGTAAGGCAGAAGTATCTTCTGTTTATTCAGTTACCTGATAATCAGAGTTGTGCTGCTCGTCACAAGGACATTCTTCTGTTCAGCTTCACAAGACTAATAACTATTGTTGACAAAATTGTCTAGTCTTTTCTAAAGCTGCCTAAGGTCACAATTGGGGTGTTGCGTACTCATTCAGAAAACAAATTGCAGTGCTGCAGCAAATCCTATTTAACACATTGGTACTGACCTTTAAAGCCCTAAATGATTTTGAACCAAGGTCTCAGTAGAAGTGACACATCCACATATATTTGCCTTTGCGTTAAAATAAGCATCCTAGACTCTATTCTTTGGCTGGGTTGTGACAAGAGTTAGACTGATGAATGCCAGGGAGAGGCTCATTTTTCAGATTGGCTGCATAGTCCTAGTTTAGAATATCCTCTTAAAGGCAGTCCATCTATCTCTTCTCTCTAATCGTCCTTGGCAGTTAATTTACCCTCATCTGAGATGCTTAAAAAACATCTTTATTCAATAGTCTTTAATTCTTTTTTTTTTTAACCATTTAAAGGGGCGCTTAACTGATTTGCTGTAGCTCACCTTAGTAAAGGGAGATGAAAAGTCTGCAAAATAATACTTGTTCTCTGATTACATCTAACAACCTTGTGACAAATTCTAGCTTGACAAAGCGTTTCACTGAATGTCCTCCTACTTCTGTTTTAGCTCTGCAGGCTTAAGAGATTCAGGGGGCCAATCCTGTTGATGAGTAGCAAGCAGTGTAGCTCAAGAGACAGCATGTATGAAATTTATGTTGGCAACACTTGAGCATGCTTCTCCTTTGCAGGGCGGCAGAATCACGTAACTCAAAAATATTTATATTTGATCCCCGAACAAGCCTGGCCAAACAGGTTCTTGAAGTGCTTGGCAACATGCTTGACATATCGGGCCATTCACGTTGGAACTTAGGTGTCCATTGCACTATGCACTTCTTAATCGTAGGGGAGGAATGAGACTTTTTTTTTCCTACAAGGCAACGATTCCTGTTTTTGAAAATGTGGATTGTGAGTAGTATATAGTAGTAGGTTTAAAACTGTCTCCCATCTTGCTTTTCCCATCTCTGTGGGACCATTTCTTAGATACCTGCTAAATAAAAGAAGTGGGCTAAAGATGAGAATGCAGTTACCCTTTTAATTTCCAAGCCAGATTGAATATTCATTGGGGTTCTTTCACTGTTCTAACTTACTGAGATGTAGAGTGAATTTTCTAAATTGACCCCTATTTCTCCTTCTGTTAAGGCTTGGAGGGCTTGTGCTGTACAGGATCCATCAGGTTCAGAATGCAAATTCAGAAGATGTCCATTGGCAAAAGTTAGCCTTTTTTTTTTTTAACCCAGGCTGCATTTTGTTCCTAAAGTCAAAAACGAGTGACAGAAGAGCTCTCAAACCCCCCACCCCGCCCTGAGAAAAGAGTGTCAAGCAATGGTGGGGCCTTTTCAAGATGTTCTTAA